ACACACACAGTCAACCCTCGCTTTACGTGGTACCACTTTATGCGTTTACGCGGTACCTTGCCGAAACCGGAATGCTCACTTTCCGCGGTGCGTGTACCCTTTTACGCGGAGAGCGGCTGGCGGTTCTCTCGCGCCTCGCCATTTTTGGATCCAAACCTCCCGCCATCTGCCATGTTGTGTAAGCGGCGCGAGTAGGTTGCGCAGTGTATGTCTTTGTTGCGTTATCGGTGACGTCATATGACGTAGCGGACTGTGATTGGGCAAAGCATCCTTATCTCCCTCCCTGCTAGCTGTAATTCGTTTAATGTAGTACTATGACGTGCCCCGCCGCGGGAGCGTTCAAGCCCCTCGACCTACCACGTCAGTTACACCCCTCCAGGCTACACCGTGTATATCGGTATCCATTGTTCCATAAGAATGGCTTCCACCGGACCACCACCACAAAGAAACCTTGCATTACCTGGACCCAGCCGCCCTAAGCCAAAGAAGACACGACGTTCCTTAAGCTACGAGGTGAAGTACAAGATCATCCAAGAGTTGGAGAAAGGAACAAGACAGGTTGATTTGGCGCGCCAGCATGGTGTGAACGAATCTACGATCCGGACGATAAAGAAGGATGCAGCCAAGATAAAGAAGCACATGAACATCACAAAGTCTACAGGTGCTTCTATGATCAAGTATTTCCACAACCAGGTGCTTCTCAAGACGGAAAAATTACTTGTGAGCTACTTGGTGCGTCAGGCGCGACGGAACATGGCGGTGGACACGCGCTCAGTTAAGGAGTACGCACGTGAACTGTATGCTGCAGTGTCAAGAAAGATGGGAATTACAGAGCCCAAACCCTTTAATGTTTCCTCTGGGTGGTTACAGAGGTTTAAGAAGAGAAACAAGATCACCAATATAAACATTGGTGGTGAAGAAGCTAGTGCTGACCGTGTTACGGCTAGGGAATTTCCTCCGTTTTTACGAGAGATTATGGAGGAAGGACAGTACACCGACGACCAGGTGTTTAACATGGACGAATCTGGTCTTTTTTGGAAAAAACTACCCTCCAAGACCTTCGTTGTGAAGAATGCCAGCAAGTGTCGGGGTCGGAAGTTGCAGAAGGAGCGCATCACCGTCCTGTTTACCACCAATGCCTCCGGTACCTGTAAGCTCAAGTTATCGGTGATCCACACAGCACGCAAGCCGCACGCCTACAAGAGCATGGACATGACCAAGCTAAATGTCCACTGGCTGATCGCACGTAAGGTGTGGATGTTCTCTACACTGTCCCTCTCCTGGTTTGATGACTGTTTCGTTCCCGATGTGAAGAAATTCTGTGAGCAACAGAATGCGCCATTCAAGATTTTGTTGCTGCTGGACAACGCACCAGGACACTCGCCCCTACTGTTAGATCGTCACCCCAACGTAAAAGTGGTCTTCCTTCCTCCCAACACTACGTCTATATTACAGCCCACGGACCAAGAGTTAATCTGTAATGTAAAAGCTGCATTCTCTACTAAAAAATTCAAGCTCCTGAACGACTACACCAACACCAGGGAAGAATTGCGTAACCTGAGTGACACCAACACCGATAGCAAGAGCGAAGTACTTTTAAAACAATTCTGGAGAATATTCAACGTCAAGAAAGCAGTGGGCTTCTTGGTGGAGGCATGGGATCAGCTGTCTGTAGCAACTGTTCGTCACGCATGGAGACGTGTTGCAAGGCATTCTGGGCGTTAGGCAGAGTCAATCTGTGACTGGTGAGGTTCAGACTGTTGAAGTAGCAGTGGACCTTGCCAGAGAAGCTGCGCAGAGTGTTACAGCTGCAGGGTTCTCCGAGACCACCAACGACGACATCCTGGAGGTGATAAGGGATCCTGATGTGACTACCGACGACATGGTAGATGATGATGACGTCAGTGAAGAGGCAGGTGGTGCGTCATCCCAAGAAGAACGCCGCTTATCCCATAGTAATGTTAGGGGTGCCATCGAGTGTGTCGAGAAAGCCAAGCTCCTCCTTTCCGACGACCCTGACGCAAACAGGTATGAAATCTTCACTACCCAGCTGTTGCAGACTATGGAGCCGTACATCAAGGTTTATCACGACATCATAAAAACCAGCCGTCAGCAAAGCATAACAGAGTTCTTCGCCTGCAACCCACCACAGCCAGCCCAAGCCAGTGATATTGACAGAGGTAGAGACAGTGATGATGACTTTGAGGGATTTGTCAGGGAGTCCCTGACAAGTGTGGATGACAGTGATGGTGACTCACCTGAGGGCCAGTAGCCTGCCCTCTCCCTCGGAACCAGCCTCCATTCCCATACGCCGACCCATCTCTTCTACTAACGTAAGTGTTAACCCCAACCTTTATTTTTCCTAACTTAACCTTTATTTTTCCTAACCTAACCTTTATTTTTCCTAACCTAACCTCTTCTATATTAATTGTGTGTGCATACCATCATAAATTTAAGATAATATTTTTACTACAACATAGTTGTGTGTCGTCAAAAAGTGGAGTTTGGGGGTCGGCCCGGTCTCTATTTCAATTAATCCCATATGTTATGTTGTTCACTTTACAGGTTTCTCACTTTCCGCGGTACCCTGTGGGTTGAATTAACCGCGTAAAGTGAGGGTTCACTGATAAAATCACACGGGAAAATGTAGCTTTGTCTTTATTCAAGACATCTTCAGAGGCAACTGGATTACATGGACAGAGAGAGGCTTAAATATACAGGGTGACCTAAAAACATGAGGTCAGGTCAAAATGATGACATCCACTAATCCCCACACCAACACACACGTAGAGGAGCTTAAGAGAAGGGTGGTGACGTGACTAGCCAAGTCAGGTCAGAAAAAAGGGACCCACAAAATAACTATCATACATCTAGATCAAAGGTTTTCAAAGCATTTTTAACCTTGGGCCACTGACAAATAAATTTATGTAACATATTATCAGTTTTGAACTGTTGGTGTGGGGATTAGTGGATGTCATCATTTTGACCTGACCTCATGTTTTTAGGTCACCCTGTATATTTAAGCCTCTCTCTGTCCATGTAATCCAGTTGCCTCTGAAGATGTCTTGAATAAAGACGAAAGCTAAGGTACTCCTGTTGTTTCCATTTTCCCGTGTGATTTTATCAAGATTTATCTTATCCACGTTTTCATTGTGGATTTACATATATATATATATATATATATATATATATATATATATATATATATATATATATATATATATATATATATATATATATATATATATATATATATATATATATGTTGGTGGTAATGGCATTATTATTTTTTATTGCTGTTGGTGGTACAGTTTTGTAAGTGTTTGTGGTAGTACAATATTGTTGGTTTTTGTTAGCGATGTTGTGCTCTCAGGGCATTTGAAGACAGTGCACTAGTCCCAGCCATTCAGCTGTGACTTGGGCATGCATCCTTCCCATGCAGCTATTGCCTAAAGATCTGTGATTCAGTTCATTTTAGTTGCTGGTTGGGATTTGGGAGGCATAACCTTTCCAATGCCATCTCTCTCTCTTAAATGGCATGGTCTGTTCTGTTCTGTTCTGATAATTACTCTTAGTATCGTATCATTCTCTTTATCTGTGAATTATTTCAATGTTTTCAGAAAAACTGACAAGGCACAAGATAAAAAACATTTTTCTTTGTCCGCTGCACAAGAACACACACCACACCTTGGCAGGTCAGGCAATAGTAGTGAAAAGTTTTGGCAGAAAATTACCATGTGGATCCATTACATTATGTATACAGCATTACATTAGTTCTTTATGCATGTACAATGCATATGTTTTAGGTAATATAGTGTTAAGTAGTTTGATCACACCAACAAGCTTCATGGCAAAGTCTGATTCTAGTGCCAAGGAAAATTGCCAATATTCTGTCTCTGATACAAAATATGCCTTAAAATGTTCATGACACCTTGTTTAGGAATATATAGAAAGTTAGATTTAGTTGGAGAAGATATGGTTTACTTTAGGTTAGCCAGTCTGTTGTCATATGGTGTGGATGTTGGTTTGGCTTCCAACTGGATGGTAGTAATGTGTTACGAAGTTCTCATCCTTCTGAGTGATTACAAATTAAGATGATGTTCACTTATCCAACTGAGAAATGGTGGCATGTAGATGGAGTTCAGTCATCCAGCTCATTCATAGTAGAGTATAGACCATTCAGTTGGGTGACGTATGCAAATGATCTTCAGTCATTCAGTTAGTTGAAGATGACTTGCTGATAAATACATGGGGTTCAGTCATCTAATTGGGTAAGGGCTGCTGCTGCACGACTGACCCAGTGGTGGCATGGGAGGGAGGAAGGCAGGATCAAATCAAGGATATAATTGGAGGAATGTCCTGTGGTGGAGAGTGTGCCACTCCGCTCGCTGGTGCGGTACACAGGGCAGTGGTACATGCCTTTCTCTTCTGCCTGGTCTTCATATTTACAGCTCACACCTGCAGACAACGCTATGAAAATCTTCAGGCAATTTGATGATGTATAAAAATAAGTAGTTTATGAATCAACTTTCTTCCAATTAGTCCAGATTATCGAGAGTTTGTTGGTATTCACTAAGCTGAATCATTCTACTTCAGTATCTGAGTGATGTATTTTTGTGCAAATAAGTTCAGGACAATATACGAGTGTGGCTAATCTAAATAAAACATCAGTTAGCAGAAATGTCATTAACATCTCAGACTCATCAAAATTTGTGAATCATAAGTTATAAGTTCTTGGTTACATATTCCTTCAAAAGATTTTGGTTATGTAACTAATGACAGTATCTTAACAAACTGCTCAAAAATTATTTTAATTTTATGTTCACTTGTAATGAACATTCCCTTCGTGTTTCATGCAAAGAAGTCACGAGTGTTTATTTTTGGTAAGCTCCACTAAGTGTATTAAATATCAATAATATGATTTATTTAAAATTTGACATACCATACCAGTAGTCTTATCTCAAAATCTAAAGGAGTAAAGATTTTCTTTTTGCTGTGAATAAAGTTGTCACCAAGATATATTTGCCGATATAAACTAAAACATATACGTATACCACTTAATTTACATTTAAATCCACTGAGAACAGGAATAACTGGTGTATAAAAATAATCCAGTCATTTAACAATTTGCAGAAAAAAATTGTCTACTGTATTCTAGGTTATATCCATTCAATAGTTTCAAATAGTTTGAAATCTAGGTTTTATTATAAAGTACATAAACCAAATTTCATTTTGTAAATAGTATTCTGACATATCATTACTTTTGACATGGAGCAATTTTCAGGTACCCATAAAATCTTAACCAATGATATGGTTAAATCACCTTGATGAGAATACCTGGTCTGACTCAGTGATAAAGAAAATTAAATTGAACATGTAGGGCAAGGTAAAGGAATGAGTAAAGAGAAGGTGTGTTGGGGGCACATACCCTCATGGTGTGACATGTCTGGGAGGGCAGCAGGTTGGAAAAGGATGATAGGTAACTGGTCATGTAGCTGCTTGGCTGACATCTCCGCCAAGCAATGTTGTTCACGATCCCAGCGTGCACCTTCCAGGAAGAAGCCCTGCACAAGAGCACATTGGTATTAAGGGGCTGCATGTTGGGTGTAGAAAACTCTTCTGCCATACTGCTTTGTCTGTCATACTGGAATGACATGGGTATAACCCAATTGACTGTTTGACATATCATGCATACTGATCTTGGTTATTTTACCTGACCTATAATATACCTGCCCAGGCAACCTCACTTGCCTGGTATTCTAACAAAGATGCCCTCACTTGTCTTTGTCCTGCTTATTAGGTGTATAGCTTAAATATCTAAATCCTCTCCCAGCTTTGCGCAGTGGCAATATCGTAACCAATGAGTTTTATCCAAGGTGTGTTACTGTGTAAAGCTCGACTATCTGCTAATACTATTGGGAAAAATTTATCTAGCAATCAACCCTACCCTTATTATTAAGAGCCCAACCCCTGAACCCCTACTTATTCTATTCTAATATTATTTTCTAATCTATCATCCTACTAACCCATGTCTAGGTGCCTCCCTGTGCTTGGCGAGGGATGACCTGGTAGATGACGTCATCAGATTCATGACTTTGGCTCTGTGAGTCATTCTCGTTGTCTTCCTTTTCCTGCTGTTCAGTTGGGACTTTCACCGTCTGGAAAGTGAAGAAAAAAAATTGTTGGCCTACATAAAAGGTAACGGGTAGTGAGGGATGGGGTTGAAGACCAGATCACAGCTGAACCGAGTCACTAATCAAGGCACATTTAACTTATTTTACTTTTATCCTCTTCACCACTGATTGGCTCGTTAGCCGCTTGGGTGATCGGTCACGTCTCTGTTACTTTCCCTTTTCTTTTATCCTCTTCACCACTGATCGGCTCGTTAGCCGCTTTGGCGATCGGTCACGTCTCTGTTACGCACTGTTGGCAAGTACTGGGCATGCACCAGCCCCTGAATGTACCTGAACCTGCTCCAGTGTTGGTCAAGTCTTGTCTAGAAAGAGCTCACACTCTGTGCCATCACAACACTTTCTGGTAGATTGTTCCAAGAGTTAACAACTCTCACTCCGAAAAAGTTTGCCCTCACAGTTTTCTGGACTTGCGGCTTCTTCAATCTTGAGCTGTGACCCCTTGTGAACTGATCTGCCAGCTCCAAGTAAGGACACTCGACTTAGTGCCCCCTGAGAGGTTTATACACCTCAATTAGGTCTCCCCTTGCCCGTCTGTAGTATAAGCTAGGCAGTTCAGGCGCTCCAATCACTCAGGGTAGCTGAGGTGCCGAAGTGCAGGCACCAGTCTGGTGGCCCTCCTTTAAACATTTTCAATCAACTGACAGTCCGTAGCATATCTCGGGGACCAGACAGGGTGACAGTACTCCAGATGGGGAAGCACTTCACTCTTGAAGATCGTTACGAGGGACGGAATGTCTAGATATCTTAACGACCTTCTTATAAGATCCAATAATTTATTTGCCTGATTTACCTTCTCCTCGCAATGGCCCGAGAACTTTAGCTCATTGTCAACATACACACCTAGGTCCTTCTCACATTCAGTCTCAAATAGTGCAGTTTCTTCATCCCGTTGGGACATATGATACGCCTCCTTACCGTTGGTACGCCCCAGGTGCATCCTCTTACACTTCGTGACATTGAATTTCAGCAGCCATTTCTTCAACCATTCTCGGAGCCCACAGAGGTCCTTCTGCAGCTCTTCACAGTCTGCTTGGTTCTTGCTTTCCTGAAATAACTTGGCGTCATCGGCAAACATTTGTATGTAGGAGTGTACAATGTCAGGCATGTCATTTATGAAACAAACAACAGCAGGCCCAGTACACTGCCCTGTGGTACCCCACTTGTGACAGGTACAGATGATGATTTCGTGCCATTAATCACCACACACTGCTTGCGGTCATGTAGAAGGTCATCTATCTACACTAGGACATTTCCCAGAATTCCGTACCCTTCCAGTTTGATTTTCAGCCTTAATAAATTATAATTTCTGTAAAACATTTTTTGTTCTATATCACAATTTTTGTGTTGAAATTTT